TCCACCACCACCCTCTGAGTACGACCCTTCAGCCAATTCGCAATCCATCTGACCGTGTAGGCATCGATGCCACAGTCACCTAGTTTTTTAATGAGTATGGGGTGGTTGACAGTGACAAAGGCCTTGCTGAAGTCCAGAAAGACTACATCCACGGCGACACCTGCATCCAATGCTTTTGTGACCTGATCGTAAAAGGCAATCAGGTTGGTGTGACATGACCTGCCCCTAATGAAACCGTGCTGGGAGCACCTCTCCCACCAATCTCCTCAACTCGTTGAAGTTGGCCCTCTTGAGTTCTAGGGCTACCGCCTTGCTGCAGGCCCTTGTCACCCTGCGCTGGATGATGAATTCCAGCAAGCGATGATTGCTATCACCCAGGTGGTCAAGGACCTGGAGCCCCCTTACCAGATCATCGCCTGTGGCCAGGACCAGGTCCAACAGGGCATTTCCTCTGGTGGGTCTGTGCACCTCCTGGGTTACGTGGAGGTGCTGTATCTCGGCCAGGAACCTCCTGGAATGGTCTGACCGGGCTGACTGCTCCTCCCAGCAGATGTCTGGGTGATTTAGATCACCCATGACAACTACATCCCTTGCCTTAAGTGCCTCTGCAAGCTGGCCCGAAAATTCCCAGTCCAGCTCCTCCCCTTGGTTGGGGGGTCTGTAGTAGACCCCCACCGTTAAATCCCTCTCCCCACGACCCCCTTGTATCTTGACCCAGAGCACTTCAGCTTGTCCCTCCTCCGACCCCATTTTGCTGGCAGAGGATGTGTATTGCTCTTTGACATAGAGCGCCACACTCCCTCCGTTCCTTCCTTCTCTATCCTGCCTGTAGAGCCTATAGCCCCTAATGCTAACTGCCCAGTCACGGGATGAATCCCACCACGTTTTGGTAATCCCTACTATGTCTGGGTTTGAACTGGCTATTCTGAGGGTAAGTTCCTCCTGTTTGTTCCCCATACTACAAGCATTGGTATACAGGCATTTAAGGCCTTGCATAGCTGCGCATGCCACCCCCCGATTTGGAAGACTATCTGGACGCCTGTTTCTTACCTTGCATGTGTCACCTGTCTTGCTCGGGTGGTGTCTCCACATCTTCCTGTGGCCCCCTCCCCTGGCGAGGCTAGTTTAAAGCTCGCCGTATGAGATCAGCCAGCCTGGAAGAGAAGACACACTTGCCTTTAGGAGAGAGGTGAAGCCCATCCCACCCCAGCAAGTCCCCCGCCCGAAAGCATGGATCATTATCTAGGAACCCAAGGCCCGCCTGGCGGCACCAACTCCATAAGCACCGGTTGACCTCGCCAATGCAGGCCTCGTGTCTTTTTCTTGTTTTCACATTAGTTTTCCCTATTCAACTAGATTATTGACCAAATATTGTAATATACATTTTTAAAATGTAATAGCTCTATTTTATGACTGGTAAAGAACTATATCATAACTTTAATATATTACTTAGTGTTACTAACTGATAAAACATCATGAATCATTACTTTAAAATATTTATAACTTTACTGCTTTTCCATGTTACCATTTTGTAAAGGTAAAAGTCAGATTTTGGCTATTTCAAATAAAATTTTTGCTGTTACAGGGTCTCATAGCCTTTGTCTAACTGTTTTGTTTGTTTTAAACTCTTCTCCACAATGCTTTAAGATGAAATTGGCCCTCCCAGCGTAAAAGTAAACTCCGGTCCCAGTTTACTCCGTATCCAGATCACTTGTCCAGGAGAGGAAAACAAGTCCATGAGTGAATGTTATGAATTCACTTACAGAATTCAGTACTGGGAAAATTCATCAAAACCTGAGGTGGGAAAACTTTTTCAAAATCCTTTTCAAAAGTACAGGCAACCCCCGCTTAATGCTCTTAATTGGTTCCGGGAAAACGAACATTAAGCAGAACCATGCTAAGCAAACCCCATTTCCCCATAGGCATTAATGTAAATAGAAATAATTGGTTACTGCCGCTTCTTGCTGTAGCTTCTTGTCATTGCCACCGCCTCTCCCCACCCCTCTGCCTGCCTGCTGGCTGCTCTGGCCCCATGTGCCAGCCCACACCCCATGCTCCTGCCAGCTCTGGCACCACAGGGCCCCGCACTCATTGCTTCTCACCACCACCACTTCTTTCCACCCCCCTGCCTGCTCCAGCACCGTGCGCCAGCCCAGGCCCCATGCTCCTGCTGCCCCGCCCTGGGCTCCTGCCAGCACTGGCAGGGGCCCCACACTCATGCCTGCCCAGCCACTTGCTGCTTCTTGCCCCTGTCGGTGCTCCCCATGCCCCTGCCCACCAGCCTCTCTGGAACCGTGTGCCAGCCCAGGCCTTCGGCTCCTGCTGCCCCGCCCTGGGCCCCTGCTGGCCCTGGCCCAGCGGCACCAATATTGGATACTGCCAAGACCTGATAACAAGCTAGCAGGAGGAATAAAATGTGTTGCAGGCCAGATAGAAGGACGAAAATGGCTTGTAGGAATTTGGAATTGTTTAGTTAGTTAAGAAGTGTGTCTCTGTACAGGATGAAGTGTAATTTTTTTTTTTTTAATTGTTAAGCAAGACAAAATGCAAGAAAACACACATGTTTCTGCAGGGCAGGATAGGACTAGGATTAAAACTGGAGTCCCATGCAAAACTGTACACTAGATGGATGATTTTGGCCTATATCAGTGGTGTCAAAGATAACACCTGTTGGCCAGATATGGTCTGTGAGGCCCTATCATCCAGCCTCTGGTGCTACCCATGGGTCTCAGAGTTGCCATATGGCCCCACATGTGGCACCTGCTCCAGCTCGCATCCCGGAGTGGCTGTACATTCAGTGCAGCCCCAGACCAACCCCATAGCATTCTGCCAGGCCAGGTACTAGGTGCCTGGTGCCTAGTCTGGATTCTACCGGACATGTGCTAGATCTGGAATGTAAAGCTGGTCCATAGATCTGTCTAGTCCACAAACTAAGTTCTGTGCCACTCATCCAGCCAGCAAAACTAAATGAGTTTGACATCTGTGACCTTATATGAAGTGTCTTGCACATTTTAGTTGTCATTTTGATTTGACTTTAGTAGTTAGAAATTCTCATTTTGTTTTACAAAAATACAATAGGTGTTGTGGCAGTCTTTATACAATAACTAAATATGTGAAACATGCAAAAAAAAAACCTTGTTGCATGTTCAGCACAGAAAAGGAATATTGCCAACACCTTTTCGAAATGGTAAAAATGGTTTGTGCTTGCTGACTAGCACTTGCTGAAGTAGTTTTGCAAAGTTTTTACTTGAAAATGTGCAAAATGCTGTCAAACTAAATTTCCATAAACAAATGTATAATTTAGCAGTGCCCAAAATTTTAATCCATTTGTATCACTCTTATAATTACCAGCATCTTTTCTTTCTGCAGGTAGAAAATGAAGTGGCACAACAGCCATTCCACACAATCTCAAACTTGATGCCCTCAAGAGCATACTGCTTGAAAGTACAAGCATTTGCACGAGCATATAATAAGAGTGGTCAATTCAGCAATGTGATATGCACTGAAACACTTAGTGGTATGAAAAGTTTAAATATATGTTTGGTATATACTATCCCTGTTGCATGCAGCAGTTGTTATAACAACTCTTCAGCATTTTTTGTGACCTACTCTAAAGTACAATGTTGCCACAGTAAAGACATACTCCATATGCTATAAATTTGAACTAGTTACTAAACTTGGCAATTTATAGTGATATATTTAAAAATGAGCAAAATTTTTAATGTACGTTTGTTACATGGGCTATTACGTGGCTAGAATACTAAAAATAAATCGAGATTTAAATTTGAGCGTGAAATACATGGCATGTATTTCCACATTTTCAAGATCATTACATAGGAAGGTAATGCACAGGATGGGAACATCCTTACACTTCCTGTTTAAGTTGTGTCCCAGTACAGAACAGACCAATGAAGTCAGAAAGAGAACAAAAAGGAAGGAGCATGACTGCATCCTCCACTCAGTTGTACATTTTACAGTGTTTAGATCTTTTTGTTTATTGGGGGGGGTTAAATAAAAAAAATTTTGAGAATGTTCAAGCATGTCCTAGGGTTTATTTTTAAAGAGTATATATGGTCTTTTAAATCTAGAAAGTGTAGTTTATCAAACAACATTTATCTAAACCAATGATCTTTCATTTATTTTTAGATCAGATGTCACCACTAGTTGTTTTGACAACCTTTTTAATTGCTGTGGTAGTTGTCCTTGTTGTGGCAGTAGTCACCATCTCGGGTATATATCTTTCATATAAAAAGATCATATATGTATTCTTTCCATCATGCAAGCCTCCTTCTAACATAGAGGTAAAGTAATTTTTTATCTTTCAAAAATGTAATTGTTCAAAGATCAAAGATGTAACCATTGCTATATGTATATTTTATCCATCCTTATGAAGGACTAGCAAATTGCCCATAAAGAATGACAGGGGGCAGGAGAGGACGGAGCCCTGTGCAATACAAGATGAGGTCCCCCCCCTCCCCCTCCCTTGATCAGCATGGGGGGGGGAAGTGCCCTTGTTTCTTATTTGCATACAAGAAAACCTTATTAAATACATTGTCTGTCATTAAACTTCTGCCAGAAACAGCATGTGCCCAGTCATGGAAACTAACTATGAAATTGATTGAATGCAGCCCACTCTGAACATGCATGTAAAACTCATGGTCTATATTGGGCAAACATACTGATGGGAACCTACCAAGGCTAGATTAATACAGGCCATCTGAATAAGATATAGTGCCTGTTGGATTCAGTCCTCCTCAATGCCAACTTTTTTGAAGTCATAGTCAGCCAGTGCATTGAATACATTTTGTGTTCCTCTTCACTCCCACAGCTGAGCATTACTTTTTCTTTCCTGTTTCCAATGATTCCTGTTTCTTCACTAGCCTTAAATGTCTGGCAAACATTATCAAATGTCTATGTAGATGAAAGGCTCCATTGCCCCTCTCTCAGCCCATCACATGTGACCAGTGTGCCCCCCCCCCCCCCCCCCTCCATAGGGTGGCGCCTGACCAGGCAACCCCGCGCATCATCTCCATACATATTTTGGAGGGTTCCAAGATGTGTGAAAAGAACACCCAGTTCCAGTTGCAAGTGGGAGGCTAATTACCATGTAGATCCTTTGTGGGGGCATATCTGAAGTACACGTACATACTGAGTAGTGCTGAGTTTACACTGTTGGCTCTGCTGGATCCCAGCCCTATGAACTATATGGTAAATCATGAGCCTTTTGGCTTTGGATTAATATCATGCATAGTTTGTACTATGTATAAGTCCATACAAAAGTGCTGCTCAAAAGTTTGTTTATGGAGTAAGTATATGCTGAAATGTGCAAAAAGACAAAATGCATCAATTCTGATGAGCTAAATCTGAGTGTACCTATAGTAATTTGCATATACGCAAATTGAAGTGGGTATTTTTTTTGGTCCCTTGCATTTCAAATTAACTGTTTTCCTGTACAAAGCAGAAGTGGGGGTAAGAGGCTGCTGTGGCTCTGACTCTGGCCCTGAGTCTGGGTCAGACACAAAGTAGCCCTTGCCCCTCATTTGCAGCTTCTGCCCCTTTTGCCGTCTTCCCCCCTCCCACCCCTTTGCTGTTACACACAGCTTGCTTCCATGTGCTGTACTCAGGGAGGGAAGAGAGCTCAAGCAACGTTGGAAAGTAAAATGGGGAGGGAAGAGGCAGAGACTGCAGAGAGCAGAGGGGGAAGGGGCAGAGACTGTGGAAAGCTGGAGTGGGGGATGCTGGTGTCAAGGGGGCAGGAAGGCTACGAGGGGAAGTGGGGGAGGAAGAGGACGAGGGGGACATCTGACACCAACTTCCCCCCCAGCCACTATTTTCTCTGATGTAGCAGTGGGAGGGGGATGAATTCAAGATAAACCTCCAATAATTAGATTCTATACCTTTATAAATTTGTTATAATTTTCACATTTACCATCTATAGAATTAATTATTGGGTGGGTCATTTTAAATTCAGGGTCATCTTAGATTTGAGTAAATATAGTAAAACAGATCTTCAGGTTTTCCTTAAACTATTTCTGTAAGACATTAATTAATTGATGCTTTTGGGCTAAAAAGTTTTAATGGAGTAGATAAGAATCAAGGAAGTTCTTTTAGACTAACCTGCATCTTCCCCCATAGCTTTCAGGATATATATATATATATTTTGATAGAAGACAGAGAAGCGGCTTAGTTTAATAGCTCTGTTAGATATCTCTATTTTCTATATTCAGCTCTTTATTCAATATAGGTCAGTTCATTAGCTCAACTTTTGTGTTTTCTTCAACTTCCGGTTCCTTTTTTTTTTTTTTTTAATGTAAAAATTAACTTCTTGAAGGAGTTTGTTTTCCCCTACTTAGCAACAGCTGTTCCACTAAGATAAGCTTCGTTTTATGTTCACCCCCAGTCCAGCAACTTCAAACATTACCTCCAAAAGTAATGTAAGACGAGCTCTGTCTCTTCACCTTTCACTAAAGGTACCATTTGCCGCTTTCTCTCACTTGAACAAAAAACCTGCAGTTATTGAAACTGCAGTAGCTGAAACCAGGGGGGGTCAGGTTTAAGACTGTAAATGCCTGATAAATAGGGATATGAGGGATTAAGATAAATTCCATTTTAATCTCTGAGTTGCTCTCACCATTATAAAGTAGGGTCTTGTAAATTATCTGCAGTCTGTACATATTCAGATAATGATTTTTGAGGTAAAATACTTCTTGAAGTTATTTTGTTTGAGCAACAATACTTGGG